TCCTACCCCATTAATCATCTCACAACTCCCCGGATTTATCTTGAAGGGTCCTGAGTATTTTTACATTGTTCTACTGGCACTTAAAGTCTAAGTATTGAGTACTTCCTCCACCACTGCTGGTTGGGTGGCAAGGGTAGTGAAGGGAGGTAATGCATATTTTAATTGTCTATCAACAAGCAGAAATTAGGGAAATGCCTCGAAAATGCATGTTTTATTGTTCCAACTGTTCCAGAGAAAAAAAGTTGTCATTGTTTTAAGGAATAGGGCAGAAAACAGAAAAAGAGAAGGAAGTATACGCAATGAAAGTATATGGCAATGATACATGCAGTTTTTTTTTCTGATTCTGAGTCACAGGGCCACGAAGCACCACATCCTCTGTGAAGAAGTAATGCAAATGGTCTTTTTTAAATGCTAACAGAAACTGCAGAGGAACTATCAGGGTACAGAAGAGAACGTGTTTCTAACTGCAGCGGCTCGTAGACAGGGAGCCTGACAATTGTTGCAACCATTGTGCTTCATAATTTGCACCAGTGTAACTATGGATGACTGTCAAGTTCAGCTCACTGCACATCAAGTGGAAAAGTCTCCTTACTTTCCCACAGATAAGAGGAGAGCAGAGGACTGGCACAGAGAACACAAGTAGAAATGTATTAAAGCAGAATTAACTCACATCGCAAACAATGCATAACCGCAAAATTCAAGTAATAAATGGGACCCCAGTGTGCAGACCACAGTTTTTGAAAGTGGAAACTCGCTAAAAAGCAACATAAACTCTACTCACTTTTGATGAGAAGTAACAGATGGGAGCCTGTAAAACATATATGTTCACCAAAAAACAAGCCAGAGAGAGGAGAGAAGGCGGTTTAAAGTCCTTCAGGTCTGACTGTGTTCTGCGTGAACGTCGCGTTCGTCCTCACATACCAACTGCAGAGAGCCAGCCGCAGGATCTCAACCCTGCTTCCTCTTTTCTTTTTCTCATTCTGTGCAGCTGAGAACAAAGTGCAGCTGAATAGCCCACACGTACAGTTTCACACATTGCCGTCGCTGTAAGAGCTCACACACTTGATAGTACGAACAGCACTGTAGAACTGTAACTACAGTTTTAAAATCAGGCCCAGGTAGAGTTCATCATCTACTGAACTAAATTAAAACTAAAAGCATTGCATACATGATTGGACATCAGTGCACACAGCCCATCACTGAGTGGCAGTGTTATCTCTTGATGTTCATTAGTCTGATCTGTAGGGCTCGTGTGCTGCATCTTCATGTTTTGCATCTCTATGCGCCCCTGCACATCCTTGAGAAACTGGGTTAGGAGGAACTAGCTGCGTCTATAGTGGTTTCAGTCAGAGCATAAACTTCACCCGAGTCACGCTGTACCCCTGCTCGTCAACGTTTACTGAGGTCTTACAGTGGTGTGTGTGAATGAACGCTGAGGCTGATGAGTATGAGCTGCAAGGCCTGGTGTTTTCAGTTCACAAGCAGTAAGGAGGGTTAGGACTTGCAATGAATGAAAGAGAGCCCTGAATTTATTCTGCAATAAATAGAATTGATGGTAAATATATAGATATATAAAACAGTAACTACAGCTGTTAAACAAATGTAGTGGAGTAAAAGTATTTAGTAGCATAAAATGAAGTAAAGTAAAGCATCAATGCATGGTTAAGAAGTGCGAGAAGACACATATTCTCCAATAATTTTATTCATAATTTTAATATAAACAGTTAATTGTTGAATAATTTACACACAGCAAGATTTTTATTTTCATATCATTGCAACATTTTCTGTACATGTCACTACTTGGCTCTCCTTTGAAAACATAGAAAAAATAAATTGTCAAGCGTTCATTTAGTCATGGCACATTTTTGATCCTGTACAATATGCATGTATTTCTGTGTGTGTGTGTGTGTGTGTGTGTGTTCAATATGTTGATATATGATACATAAAGATAATGGCACATTTGGATCCAGTGTGAGGGATGAAGCGATCTCTGTGGGTTGCGGGGGGGGGTTTGGGTTTTTTTTTTTTTTTTGTGCGTTTTGCAGCCACTATAGTTTCTCCATCTCGCTTGGAATGGGAGGGTGAAGTGAGGG